TCCTCCACCTTCTCTTCCCATCCCGGACATTGTGTCAATAAAAATATTATATCTTCGATCACCTTTAAAAAAAAATTCAATTCGTTTCGCCTCTCTCTCTCTCTCTCCCTTTCCAAACAAGAACTTCAATAACACTTAAAGCAGATACGAAAAGAGAATTAAAAAAAAAGCTGTTAGTTTATAAGTATAGAAAGCATGTTTCTACTTGAAAAATTCCCAATTTACTACAAGTTTTTAGTAGCTTTAGTTTGCACGTGTAATTGTTGTGTTATTGAAAGGTGTATCTGTAATGCTAATGTTAATACTAATGCTTTAATACTAAGACTAACTCGTGGTGGTTGTGCAGCTCCATAGGTTACACGTGAGACTCCCCCGGAGGCCGGAGGACTCATGAGACACTCCGCCGCTCCTCACCGACTCGACTATCCTGCGGCCAGTGAGTCCGTAGACACCCTCACCACCACCACTACTGGCTCCCAGCATACAGGTACTAACAACTAACATTAGTCGGGACAGCTCGATCCCGTCCACATATTTATTTACTTGTTTCTATTTTTTATTTTACTAACTAACCAACTAATTAACTAAACACTTGTCTATTCACTTACTACTACTACTATTATGATTAATTACTATATCTATTACTATTACTGTATATATTTCCCCCCCAAATGGAAAAAAAACAGATAAAGTATTATGTACAACAAGATCAAAACACAAAAAAAAAATCCTTCCTCTTTTATGGATTTTTTTCTGTTCTCAATTTTTATACAGAATACATGATTTTTTTTGATAACGAAACGATTTCCACGTACGTTTGCACAGGTTTATAACAAAATTAATAATTATTATAGTTAAAGCATCGAAATTATACAAGATTTATGTACACTAGGGAAAATTTCATTTATATATTATTGATTGATGTATTTATAATGGAAGAAATAAGTAAATAATTTAGTTAAAAATCTTAGTTTATATACGATATTTGAAAAAAGAATCAAATAATATAATTATAATTTATTTTATACAAAATTTTATATAAAATCTAATTAATATAAGGTTTTGATACATTTTTTTAACTAAATCTAAAAATTTAATTTTTGAGAAGTTCAGTAAAAAAAATTAATATTGATAATTATTAACAAAATTTATACGTGTAAGACATTTTCGAACAATTATTAAAATTTAGTTTATAGAAGATTTTTAGACAATAATAAGAAAATATTGATGATTTAATTAAAATCTAATTAATATAATCTATTATATTTACAAAAATATGATTTTTTAAAATTATTGTATAATTGTTATTAAAAATGTATAGTTTAAAAGGAAATGAATATGAAATGAAACGTTTGCACAGGTTTATAACAAAATTAATAATTATTATACTTAAAGCATCGAAATTATACAAGATTTATGTACACTTAGGAAAATTTCATTTGCATATTATTGATTGATGCATTTATGATGGAAGAAATACGTTTAGTTTTAGTTAAAAATCTTTGTTTATATACGATGTTTGAAAAAAGAAATCAAATAATATAATTATAATTTATTTTCTACAAAATTTTATATAAAATCTAATTAATATAAGGTTTTGATACATTTTTTTAACTAAATCTAAAAATTTAAGTTCAGTAAAACAATTAATATTGATAATTATTAAGAAAATTTATACGTGTAAGACATTTTCGAACAATTATTAATTAATTTAGTTTATATAAGATTTTTACACAATAATAAGAAAATATTGATTATTTAATTAAAATCTAATTAATATAAGGTTTTGATACATATCTTTTTAACTTAATCTAAAAATTTAATTTTTGAGAAGTTCAGTAAAAAAAATTAATATTGATAATTATTATGAAAATTTATACGTGTAAGACATTTTCGAACAAATATTAAAATTTAGTTTATAGAAGATTTTTACACAATAATAAGAAAATATTGATGATTTAATTAAAATCTAATTAATATAAGGTTTCGGTATAATCTATTATATTTACAAAAATATGAATTTTTCAAATTATTGTATAATTGTTATTAAAAATGTTTAGTTTAAAAGGAAATTAATATAATATGAAATGAAAATCCTCTCAATATTAAATATGTAGATTTTTAATGGAAATTACTAAAATATTTACAGAGATTGCTGTGATTAAAAACAAAACAAAATCTTGTATAATTCGATTGAAACATTAGAGTATACACACAGTGAGTGTGTGTGTGTGTACTGAGTTAAACAAATTTTTCAATTGCGTCACATCGCCGGTTCGCGAGAAATTCAATTAAGGTTTAATTAAACATTAAATTGCTTCAATTTCCGCTTTGATTCGCAAACGGGACGAATGAGTGAGTGAGAGAGAGAGAGAGAGATCCTGTGCAAACGTACGTCATTTCCTGTGTACGTGATGGCGTGTGCGTGTATATTTGCGTTCGGTTTTTATTATTATTTCATCATTCCCCCAACCAAAATACTTTCCACCATTATTTTTATTATTTCTTTTTGTATCTATTTCTCTATTTGTTTCCCTCTTTGTACGTTATATTTTCTTCTGTGTGTGTTTAACCGCGCCCGGAAATAAATAGCAAATTGAATCCGTCGCGTAATCCCTTAAAGTGGACCGAAACGCGAGAGCCGATAAATCGTTTCGCCGCCGCTGGATTTTCCGATTAATATTTGCTAATTTTTAGCTGCGAATCGGGGGCGGCGGCGGTGGTTTAGGGTGTTCCACGTTAATGGCGGCGTGTTTTAGGGGGGGATGGGGATGGTAGGTTTCCGTTAATGGCGGCGGCGGCGACCGGAAGCCGCCATTAATCACCGTCGATGAGGATCTCGCGAACGCAGGTGTTTCCGGTTTTCTATCTCTCTCTCTCTCTATATCCCCCCGATAAGCCCGATGTTCGACCGACCCCCATTGATGCAGAGTTATCTCAATTTCGCACGCACGTTTCCTACATAGTACCAATAAGAACAAGAATCGTAATGAAACAAATATGTATATACCCGGCGCATCCACCATTGTTTTAAACATAATTTTTTACGTAATTATATTTCGATATTAATTAACTCATGCATTCATTATTTATGAATAGTATGAAATATGAAATTCCCGACTGTTTTCAATAAAAAAATATATATAAAAAACGTTTTAATGATGATGTTCCAATTTGAAATATTTATGTTATTATTATTTTTACAGTCAATATGCAAATATGTGCAACGTGTAAAAAAATGATGAGAAATGAACAAATAACGTATACAAATTCCATTTTATATTTTAATTGTGTAGATTTTGTTAACTTTTCTATACTCATCAATTCATTTAATTGTATGCATTGTCTTTTAATTAAAATTTTTAATAAGCGAATAACTGAAATATGAACATTTATAAATATTTACAGGATTTATAGTAAAATTAGATTCATGGATTTTAAATTACATTTACATAATAAGTAAAATTTGTTTTTAAGATAAAAGTCAGATATATTTTATAACTGAGAATTATTAAATTCATTTTATTTTAAGTTATAGAAATGAAAGAATTGAAATATTCTTACAATATGCAAAGAAATTTTAAGTTGAACCACAATTTAAACAACTTTGTTTAATTTTTTTTTCAGTTCATTATTACAAATTATTCAAATCTAAATAATATTAGAAAATTTAAATTAAATTTACTCATTTTTTCTTAAAAAATATTTAATTATGTGAGGAAAATTTATTTTCAATGCCCGGCGCATCCACATTTTTGTACTTTGAAGTGATATTATAATAATGCATATGTTAATATTTCAATTAGTTGTAAATATTTTAATGTTTTGATAAAATTTGTTTTTATGATAAAAGTCAGATATATTTTATAACTGAAAATTATTTAATTCATTTTATTTTAACTTATAGAAATGAAAGAATTGAAATATTCTTACAAAATACAAAGAAATTTTAAGTTGAACCACAAATTAAACAACTTTGTTTAATTTTTTTTTTCAGTTCATTATTACAAATTATCTCAAATCTAAAGAGTATTAGAAAATTGAAATTAAATTTACTTATTTTTACTTAAAAAATAATTAATTATGTGACAATAATTTATTTTCAATGCCCGGCACATCCACATTTTTGTACTTTGAAGTGATATTATAATAATGCATATGTTAATATTTCAATTAGTTGTAAATATTTTGATTTTTTGATAAAATTTGTTTTTAAGATAAAAGTCAGATACATTTTATAACTGAGAACTCAGTTATAAAATATATCTGACTTTTATCTTAAAAACAAATTTTACTTATTATGTAAATGTAATTTAGAATCCATGAATCTAATTTTACTATAAATCCTGTAAATATTTATAAATTTTCATATTTCAGTTATTCGCTTATTAAAAATTTTAATTAAAAGACAATGCATACAATTAAATGAATTGATGAGTATAGAAAAGTTAACAAAATCTACACAATTAAAATAAAAAATGGAATTTGTATACGTTATTTGTTCATTTCTCATCATTTTTTTACACGTTGCACATATTTGCATATTGACTGTAAAAATAATAATAACATAAATATTTCAAATTGGAACATCATCATTAAAACGTTTTTTATATATATTTTTTTATTGAAAACAGTCGGGAATTTCATATTTCATACTATTCATAAATAATGAATGCGTGAGTTAATTAATATCGAAATATAATTACGTAAAAAAATATGTTTAAACAATGGTGGATGCGCCGGGTATATAAATATTCGTTTCATTACGATTCTTGTTCTTATTGGTACTATGTAGGAAACGTGCGTGCGAAATTGAGATAACTCTGCATCAATGGGGGTCGGTCGAACATCGGGCTTATCGGGGGGATATAGAGAGAGAGAGAGATAGAAAACCGGAAACACCTGCGTTCGCGAGATCCTCATCGACGGTGATTAATGGCGGCTTCCGGTCGCCGCCGCCGCCATTAACGGAAACCTACCATCCCCATCCCCCCCTAAAACACGCCGCCATTAACGTGGAACACCCTAAACCACCGCCGCCGCCCCCGATTCGCAGCTAAAAATTAGCAAATATTAATCGGAAAATCCAGCGGCGGCGAAACGATTTATCGGCTCTCGCGTTTCGGTCCACTTTAAGGGATTACGCGACGGATTCAATTTGCTATTTATTTCCGGGCGCGGTTAAACACACACAGAAGAAAATATAACGTACAAAGAGGGAAACAAAGAGATAGATACAAAAAGAAATAATAAAAATAATGGTGGAAAGTATTTTGGTTGGGGGAATGATGAAATAATAATAATAAAAACCGAACGCAAATATACACGCACACGCCATCACGTACA